CTACTCCGACCTACACAACAGATCTCTGTTTTGGAAGGAGCTGCTCATTAATATATTGTTTGTTTCTACACAAAGGGAAACTTTACGCCATGAGTGCATTTTTTTTTTTGCATACATTTATATTGGTACATTTTGTTACCCCGTCTAATCAGATTTGCATAATATAATGCGTTACAAATTCAGATATTTTATGGGGATATATAATAGGGGAGGTTTTATATCGTGTGCGAATATCAAATGTGACTTTACAAAGCTGATTTATTAATTCTCATTGCTGCAAAAAAAATGATATAGAGACGCACAGTATGTTTGTGTTTGCATATATATGACTATAATATGCCATTTATGTAGCATTTATCTACCTATATCAGATGAACCTTATATGTAAAGTGGAAGTCCAGAAAGAACCGAGTTTATCACCTGGGTGCAGGGTCATTCATAGTTCTTGGTTTATGGATCAGAAATGATCCATGCTGGGATGGATGGCCAGTGTTCTAGGGGAGGTACTGCCAGATACTCATAGGTTTCTCCAAAGGCTTGTACACATGGGTTTATCTTGTAGAAGAGCAGTAGGTACAACAAGCAGAGGTGTCCCTAGTCTTATTGTCACCTGAGGCAGGGGGTGGGGCAGAGTGGTGCAGGTGACGCCGCCCTCTGCAGGCTCTTAGCAACCTGGGACGCCCTGGCCGGCATCTCACCCAGCTCCTAGCAACAAGTGACATCACTGGTTGCCAGGAGCTGGGTGGGATGCCAGCCAGAGTTTGGCAGAGAAATGTGCATGGCCCTTACACATATTCCCCATCTGGCTCTTAGCAACCTTGGACGCCCTGGCCAGAAATGCGGTGGACAGGCACGCTGCAAACATTGTCCTGCTGCTCTGCTTGCCACCCCCCACATGACCCAAAGAGATGCCGTCTGAGGAAATAGCCTCAAGCTGCCACATTACACATATAGTCCGGACAACAAGCCATTACAAAGCATTTGCAAAGCTTTCAGCGAGCTGCATGAAGACTTTAAAGGGACCCTGTCACCAGACCATTCATTTTTAGCAGCAATCTTTCCATAAGATTAAAAGTGCATTTAAGATATTTTATGAGTGAGCGAGTAAATTTTTCCCACATTTTGTGAAAAGGGGGACTTGCCCTTTAAGCTGGCCATACACTGGTCAGCAGGACTTGCCTGAAACTCATCAGGACCTCCCTGTTGTCAATCGACTTTTGTAGAAGGAGTCGGTTTAGAAAATTCTCAACTCAACAGTGACTGCAGCCAGGCAGCTGCAGCCACTATGTGGGTGTTGGAACAGCAGCATGCCCGCCATTGTCAGAATACAGAAGACTGGGGGGAGGATTCACTCATCCATGCCATCAGCTTAGATGGCGAAATTGAGAGTTGTTTTACTCCGTGTATAAGCAGCGGTAGTGCTGTTATTCAAGTGAAACTCTATAGTGTTCCCCCAGCAGCTAAGCTACATAATAGGTTATGTAGGGAGCTGGGCCAGCACAGAGAATTATTGGACACTCCCAGAAGAGGGGAGGGAAATGATATGCAAAGAGGGAGCAGGCTGCCACGAAGTAGTCAGTTTTTCTAGCCAGTTCAGAAGCAAATTGCAACTGAGCAAAAAGTCATTCATGGACAGGAAAAAATGCTGCAAGTCAGCATTTCAAATACTTGGTTTCTTTCTGTTCTTTTACCTGACATGTTTTAAGTTGGTGACAGGGTCTCTTTGAAGCACCCTCTGGCTCTCGTTTGGGAATGTTAAACACGGATCATAATAGGGATGTTGATTGACACTAAAAACCAAGCTGTCAGCTGGCTTCTAGCACCTATTAAAGTGACACTAAGCTCAGGAGTTACATGTTAAAAATACATTCAAGTCCCCTAACTATTAACAAAAATGTATCTTATTTGTGTATCACTCGGCTGTAGATCCTCAAATCATCTCTGAATTGGTGCTGACACTGTCCTTCCTTCTGGAGGGGGGCTACTTTTGTTCCCCATGGTCCCTGTGTGTGTTCTAAAGTAGTCACCGCTCCAGGTTCACTCCTGTGATGGGCTACAATCTCAATACCAATAAGTAAACTAAACGTGAGATTGTAGTCCATCACAGGAGTGAGCTTGGAGCGGTGGGTACTTTACAACACACACAGGGACCCTGGGGAACAAAAGTAGCCCCCCTCCAGAAGGAAGGACAGTGTCAGCACCAATTCAGAGATGATTTGAGGATCTACAGCCGAGTGATACACAAATAAGATACATTTTTGTTAATAGTTAGGGGACTTGAATGTATTTTTAACATGTAACTCCTGATTTTAGTGTTCAGAGGCAGTGATCTGTGTTTACTATCCCAGGATTGTAGCTGAAGGCTGCTTTGGGGTCTTCAAGAAAGCCACTTGGAGCTTTATGAATGCTTAAAGTGACATTAAACCCTCAGATTTTGTAACATAAACCAATACTGTAATGTGTGCCTTACTGTAATCCATGGTAGTTTCCCTTCTCTTTGCTGCTCTTCCTTTTAAATCTGTATCTCTTCTCATGCTGGGCAGAACTTCTGTTTTGCAGCAGACTGCCTTGTCTCAGGAATGGATACATGGTGTCTGTGTGTAGTTTGTAACCTGAGCCAGCACTACAGGAAGAGGCACTCAGCTGCAAAGGGAAGTTCTGCCCAGCATGATAAGAGATACGGATTTAAAAGGAAGAGCAGCAAAGAGAAGGGAAACTACCATGGATTACAGTAAGGCGCACATTACAGTATTGGTTTATGTAAAAAAAATTTATGTCACTTTAATGTACACACTGCTCATCTACAGGCTGACGCCTCTGTGTACAAAGCCTGACAGCGCTTCTTCTAATGAACGATCCTTCTCAGTATGATTGCATTAAGGTAAGGGGGAGTTCACACAAGCTAAAGCTAGCCATACACTAGTAGATTTTTTTTCGTTGAGGGCCACCCACTGAGTG